GCAGAAATAGATTCTCAAATCTCTCAATCATCTCCATTTTTCCGCGAATCGCTAATTCATGGTTAGGGTTTATACACCTTACAATCTCTTACTCAGTTTTCTCATATCTCGCTCATAATCCCAACACATTTCATCTTTCGATCTTCTAGAAACGCCCAATTTCGCAAACTAGGGTTTCCGATTTCCTCTTCTCTACGGTCGATTCTTGTTCTTTTTGGTATCCCAATTCAAGATTTTTCAACGATTTCGCCTAATTTGTTCTTACAGAATCGTCGATAGAAGAATGGGGGATCTAGATGAAACTCAGCAGAATCCATTGTTGAGAGAATCCGAATCAGAGAGAGGTCACGAAGAATTCAACGGAGCTTCTTTTAGTGGAGCGGTTTTCAATCTCGCAACAACAATCATCGGTGCTGGTATCATGGCTTTACCTGCAACAATGAAGATCCTCGGACTTATTCCCGGTATCGCAACCATCGTTCTCGTCGCTTTCTTGACCGATGCAACGATTGAATTCTTGCTCAGGTTTAGTACAATCGGGAAGCAGAGATCTTACGGTGGTTTAATGGAAGATTCTTTTGGTAAACCCGGAAGGATTATGTTGCAAGTTGCTGTTCTTGTTAGCAACATTGGTGTTTTGATCGTTTACATGATCATTATCGGTAACTTACTTAACTTGTTCTTAGATTTTTGCTATTTGGATTCTGAGTCTTTTAGGCATGGAACTAGATTTGGTTTGTGTTTTGGAATTGGAAGGTGATGTTTTGGCTGGAAAGAATGAATATGGAATCCACCATGCTGGTATGCTTGAAGGATGGTTCGGAGAAAATTGGTGGAACAGGAGAGCTTTTGTTCTTCTCATTACTACTCTCTTTGTCTTTGCTCCATTGACCTGCTTCAAACGGATAGGTTAGTATCATGTCTCATCTTCTTTTCTAGGTTTTGCTTCATATGGCTATGTAATCTTGATCGCTTATGGTTCATTGCAGATTCTTTGAGATTCACATCTGCTATATCTGTTGCTCTAGCGGTTGTTTTTCTTGTCATCACTGCGGGAATTGTAATCATAAAGTTGTTCAGTGATGGTTTGATGATGCCAAGACTTCTACCAGATCTCACTGACTTGGCCTCCTTCTGGAAACTCTTCACGGTTGTTCCCGTGCTTGTCAATGCGTACATTTGTCATTATAACGGTATACGCAAACACTTCTTTTTTCGCTAGTTGATAGATTTGAAGAATCAAACAAGAACTCATGTTTTAATTTGGTTGTATTCAGTTCACAACATACAGAACGAGCTTGAAGACCCTACTCAGATCAAACCTGTTGTTCGATCAGCACTTATGATGTGCTCTTCTGTTTACGTAATGACAAGCTTATTCGGATACCTCTTATTTGGTGAATCTACACTTGATGATGTTCTTGCAAACTTTGATACCGACCTTGGAATCCCACTTGGTTCGGTACTAAATGATGCAGTCAGATTCAGCTATGCAGCTCATCTCATGCTTGTGTTCCCCGTTGTCTTTTACCCTCTGCGCGTTAACATCGATGGTCTCTTATTCCCTACGGCTCCATCGCTTACTTCCTCTAATCTGAGGTTTGGCTCTATCACTGCCGGTCTCATTGCAGTAATCTTTGTGGGTGCAAACTTCATACCAAGCATTTGGGATGCTTTCCAATTTACTGGAGCAACCGCTTCTGTCTGCCTCGGTTTCATATTCCCCTCTGCTGTTATCTTAAAGTAAGATCCATTTGTTTCATTATTTATAATCTAAGAGATTGTTTGGAACATAATTTGAATGGATTTCTTGTGTTTCTTTCAGGGATCGTCATAACCGAGCAACAAACAAAGACAGGACTATAGCCATTTCCATGATTGTTCTTGCGGTATTCTCCAATGCAATCGCCATTTACAGTGACGCATACGCCTTATTCAAGAAGAACAAGTCCATATTTCCAATATGAAAAGGGTGATTTTGTTTCTTCTCTCACTCTATGTGAAAACCAAATATGCAGAAGATTCATTGGTGACAAGATGATGTCTTTAGATGATTTTGAACGGTATGATAATAGTTGTAGAATCTCTGTATATATAGAGAGATAGATCATTTTCTTCTTTTATATTCCAATTAACAATTGTAAGACTTGAGAAATGAAAGATGTTCCTTCACACCTTGATGGTTCTTCTTAGTATAGAGAAAAAGCTTGATCAAATCATGGTCTTATTGCTTTATTTCGCATTCTTCTCACAGCATCCTTATATCGATAAATTGTATGTTACCAGTTGTTTGATTCAGCAATCTTTCGTATTCATGACCAAGCTCACAGTTTCATCAAACCTCTCTGCATCACAAAGACAGTTTCTTTTAATGTATATAGAGGGATCATCTTTTACATGATCTTATTATATCCGTACTCCTATCAAAAAATTCCGATCTAGATCATGTTCGGCTATAAAACCATATCACAAACAGACTATTGTTACAATCAATAGCAAGTGTCATTGTGAATGTTAAGATACAAACAACAGCAACAAGTGTGTATATTAGGAGTCATTGCACAAGTCCAAACAAAAACAGAGATAAAAAAAAGAGCCTCAAAATGAAGAATAAGAGAAATGAAGCAGCCGTTGACTATCTTCATCTCTGTTCTTTGCTCAATTGCTGGAATTAGCCTGAGAAGGGAAACATGGCCTCCACACAGTTTCTTTGCCGATATCCATTAATGCTATCCCTTTGATCGTCAATTCTGCTCTTATCGCATCGCTTCTCTCAAATTCTTTGTTCTTTCGCGCCATTATCCTTTCTTCTACTAACCGAGAAATGTCTTCTTCTCCCAATCCTGCTCTAGTTAGTGTTTTTTGTTTCATTTCTTTCAAAATATCAGCATAGCTCAGAGTAGTGAGCAAACCAAGTACATCAAGAACTTCCCTTGCTGCTTTTTCAATCTCAATGAGTGACACAAGCAGCGACATCCGCTGCCTTTTTTGCATTTTCTGGAAAAAAAATTGAGGAAAAAAAAGAGACAACATTGGTATACGTTATTGTGTATGCTACAGGGAAAAGAAAAGAAGAAGGGAAAAGCAGAAACCTTGAGCTTGCCAAGCGAGGCGTTGATGAATTTCAATGCATCTTGGTAAGCACCCGTAAGTATATGGGCAGTATTCAAATCGTCTAACATCTTTGCTTCAAACTCACTTTTCAGATTGTTAATGATGTCTATGGCTTCTGCAGTCGGTTCAGCTTTTCCCCCGTCTTCTGACATTGCTTCTCGATATGGCAAGAGACCATCATCAAGATCTTGTAATGTCTAATAAACGAAGAAGAAAGGTATAGTCAGAACTGATAATAAATTATGACTTTGTCTCACTTTTAATTTTTCTGTTCCCAAATAACTCATTGCAACTAAACAGAGGCTAATCAAATAGTTGAGTAATTTTTAAAATTTATCTGAGGCGCACTGTACCTGATAAACATAATATAAAGCTTCTGACGAACTCTCTAGCTGTGACTCTGAAAAACTCAGAGGAGACCGGTACTGTGCACTCATCAAGAAGTGCCTCAGAGCCAATGGATGGTAACTAGCTGTGATCTACACAGATTGAAAAAAAAAAAAAATTCAGAACCTGTAAACAATTCTGCATTTAGCCATGGGAACGCGCCCAAAGAAAAATTCAATGATTAGATTTGGAACATCTAAAAACATACTTCTCTGATTGTTTTAAAGTTTTTCTTAGATTTTGCCATCTTCTCGTTATTGATAGTGACATGTCCATTATGCAACCAGTAATTCACACCACCATCCTCACATGCAGCACATGTCTGAGCAATCTCATTTTCATGATGCGGGAATTTCAGATCGGCACCACCACCATGAATGTCAAATCTCGGAGACAGATAATGAGCACTCATTGCACTGCACTCGATGTGCCATCCTGGTCTTCCTGGACCCCATGGGCTCTCCCAACTTGGCTCATCGGGTTTTGCAGCCTGCATAAATTTATGTTTAAACCTCCGTTCATCATAACCTCCAAGGCCTCAATTTACTGACTGACTCAGAGATGAAAGTTAAAAAGATTTTGATTCCCAAACCTTCCATAATGCAAAATCAGCAGGGTTACGCTTTCTCGAATCAACAGCAACACGCTCACCAGCTCGTGTATGTTCCAACATTTGCCCAGATAGTTTACCATAATTTGGAGACTTGTCAACCGAAAAGAACACATCGCCTTCCACTACATACCCACAGTCTTTCTCAATGATCTGTAACAGGCAAGTATATGGATCATAACACTTTATTGATAACTTCAACTTCATGTTGTATCACATCTTTCAACGAACAGCGTTAAAGGAGACGACCAAACAAGCTAAAAAAAAAGAAGAAGAATAAGAGATCTCTAATCAAGCCTAACATACCGTTTCTATCATCTTAACAATGTGATCCATATGGTCGCTGACACGAGGCTGGTGGGTGGGAAGGAGGCACTGAAGAGCACCCATATCTACCAAATACTCCTCGCAAAAGCGATTACTCAAATCTAACGGGTTCTCTCCATTCTCATTAGCACGTTTGATAATCTACAGAGATCCAAAATATAGATTACAGAAAATGTAATGTACCTAAACGTAAGAACAAGAAGATTCCTGTTAAATTAAGATGTTCAAAACGTCATAAGAAATGTAAAAAAACCATACCTTGTCATCAACATCTGTGAAATTCCGGACAAAATTAACTTCGTAACCCAAATGCTTTAAGTATCTGCATGCATAACCAGTAGAAGAAATAAAGCTATAATAAATACCAAATCCATGAACATTCCTTGATCCAAGTATCAAACTAGAGAAGAAGCAAAAAAAAAACCCATATTCTTATATCCAAATCAAAAGCTAAGAGATCGGGTCTAAAAACTACAAATCCCAGAAATTAACCTCATCGATCTAACAGATTCCATTCAACAAAACCCTAATTCCAAAAAAAGAAAGAAAGAGAGACCTGTAAAGAACATCAAAGGAAACGGCGGCGCGAGCATGACCGATGTGGCTGAAATCGTAAGCTGTAATACCACAGACATACAATCCGATCTTGCCGGGATTGATCGGAACCAAAACTTCCTTCTGTTGCGTCATCGTGTTGTAAAGCTTCAGCTCCATCTTCTCCGCCTCCATCTTTCTCTCTCACACACACACAAAGCTCTCTCTCTCTACGGCGAACTTTAAACC